ATTTCCCTAATGCCCATGACGAATTGGTTAAGGAGGGCGTCTCCTAGGTCAGGGAATCCACGGTGGATGGCCAGCCTGCAGAGTTCAGCCATGAAGTTGGTGGCTGCTGCTTCAAACTTCTGCTGGCGCGCAAAGAAGTCCATGCGCCTCACCATCTTGGTCTTGGGCACGATGAGGCTCTGGACAAGGCGTAACATGACAGTGGCACTGAGCAGGAGCGACTTCTTTTTTCTCAGTGGCGTCCATGCCCTGGAACCTGACGAAGAATTTTAGGCACTCCACCCAGGTTTCCTATAACTTGGGGTGAGCGAAGTTGAACTCAGGAAGATGTCCCGGAGTGGCAGCCATGACCCTGGAAATGATGCAAAGTGTGGAGGGCTGGGGCTCATTGTGCGGTGCTGGAGTCAGTGCCGGAGGTCAGGTCAGGCTTGCTCATCAGGATCCCATCCTCGTCGCCAGTGAAATATACTGGGTTCAAGCGTGTAGAGTGATTAGCTCATGTTTATTAAGTGGTTTCAGCTCCAAAACTAAGACAAACTTGCAGGATCAGAGCCCTGCTTATATTAATAAAACACACCCCACATCCCACGATAGGCTATTTACAGAGTATTGTTTACCAATTGGATACTACTAGGATCCGGGTCTATCTATTTGTTCATTCTAGGATCCAAGCCTTCTATTGTGATGTGCTCCAAGCTACGGTATTTCGCATGTTCGCTTGCGAGCCCTTTCGCAAGTATGGTTTCATCGCGATACATAATACATTGAAATGAAAGTGTCCCTTCTGGTTTGGACATGCTAAAAAGATCACCGCAACAGTGTGGGAAAGACCCCCCCCAGTTTTAAAACAAATGTTTGTTTTAGAGGGAAAAAATGGGCCACCCATGAATGCAGGACAGCATAATGTGGGAACAGAAAAAAGAAAATCTGCACAAGCCAAGTGGCTGAAACAGAATTGTCTGTGTGAAAGTAGCCCATATTGGTGGTTCTTGTAGTTTTGCTTCTGTTTCCTGTCACTCATTTTCTTTTGCAAATACCTTCTTTCAACTCTGTATATAAAAATATGTAAGATGCAGTCATCTGAACAGACTGCCTCCAAAATACACGTTACTTTTGCATACAGAAAGCCTACCTGTGGGAACAGATGTGGCTAAACACTGTGGAATAAAACACTTCTGGCATGAAGTTCTTTTTATACAGACTGTGCTAAACATCAAGAACAGTAGCAACAAAAGAATTTCTATTGATATGAATTATTTGAAGACCTGCAAAAACATTTCTACAAAGTTAAAAACTGCAGCATCTAAAGCAGACACACTACAGTTGCTCATGGGTTTTTAAAATGTCTCATGTTTAACTAGAGGAAAGGTGGGATACAAATAAACAAAAAACTATAAGGCTAAATGACCCTTGAGGTCCCTTCCAACTCTATGCTTCTCTGCTGTGTTACTGTAGTTAGGCTGTGGCAATCATTTTGTGGCTGGCTCTGATTCCTGCGGCAGTCATTTTGTGGCAGCCATTTTGTTGCTGTGCCCACCATGCCATGCCAGAATTCCAAATGTGGATGCCTCAGTTAACTGAAATTCCTGGAAATTGGGACTCTCAATGAGAATTAAACCATGAGCTCTATGTAGGGTTGTCTTTGAAAACACTTTCGAAACTCCCATTGATCCAAAATACAGCAGGCAGTCTATTTGGGGGGATTAGTTACAAGAATCATGTCACCCCTGTCCCAAAAGCTCTGCTAGCTGCTCGTATGTTTCTGGGCACAATTCAGAGTGCTGGTTCTTACTTTTAAGGCCCTAAATTGCTGGGGACGAGGGTACCTGGAGGACCATCCCCTATGTACTGTCCAACCCACCAGAAGACATGCCTCTCAAGCCCTGATTCCTGTGTACCTGCCTTCACATATAAGGTGGGCAGCAACTAGAGACGGGGCACTTTCAGTGGTGGCACCGCACCTTTGGAATGCTCTTCCCCTTGAGGCTAGCCTGGTGCCAGCCATGCTGTCTTTCAGGCACCAGGCCAAAACATTTCTTTCTACCCAGGCTTATACCTACGGGGTTTTATCTTTCTAGCAGTTTTATAGTCTGTTTTTGGTTTGACGTTTGTTTTCTGGAATTTTCTTAGGGTGCTCAGTTATTGTTTTATGCTTTTTATGCCAAATGATTTATTCTTAATGGCTTGTTTTGTTTTTATGATGTTTATTATGTGTTTCCTAAATAAATATGGAGTGAGTCAGATATCCAACTTCAGTCATGGCATGAGGAAGAAAGGGAGTGCAACAGCGAACCAGGACCATGCCCATCATCAGTGTTGGTTGGTTTGTGGTGTCTGAACTAAACTTTAGTCTTCCCTGAAGACCACTAATTTGTCCATCTGTATTTTACCTTGTCCTTGATTTGAAACAAAGCAGTTTTTTAAAAGGAAAGTAGGATTGTGTAGCTCATGTCCTATCATGAATGCCCAGAAGAGGGTGCCATACACTGTAGATTATTTGGTTTATCATGAATGTAATTTTCTAACCTTAATTTTAAAATAGACTTACTTTAATTTAAGCCCTGGGGAACAAACACTTCTTAATAACAGAAGGGATCTGGGATGCTTAGGTCTTCCTTTAAAAAATTCTTGGATGCCAGATACTACATGGTACTAAAATAATTTGTTGCAACTTATAGACAAGTCATTGTCCTAGTTTAATTTGAAATTTTAGTACTACTTAAAACGTACTAATTTTGCTGCCCGGGGAAATCTCTGAATCTTCTTCAAGTACACGTACAGGTCAGATTTTTTTTTTTTTAAATATATATATAAAGCTATGTTGTGGTTGTTTTCTACAGGTTGTATCTGGTTATAGGGATGGGCACAAACTGAAAAAAGTGGTTCGATTCAGGTTTGGGAGTCATCCTGAACCAAACCCAAACCAGAACCAAAATGTCTTTCCTGAACCGAACCAGTTCGGGAAATTCAGAATCCCGTGGGGTGGCCTCCAGAGTCCCAGAGACTCCAAACTCACGG